ACAAGGGTAGGCGCTGACCTCCAACAAAAAGAAGAAGTAATTTTATCGGAATACAAGAGGTTTTTCTTTTCGAAATCCGAATAGAAAGGGTACAGATTGTATTCGAATACAACATGTAGGACGTGCACCCTTTCAATTTCGAAAAAGGACTACCCGCACGGTTTCAATTTCGAAAAAGGACTGCGGCCTCCTCGGCCTCCTACTCGCAGCTACCGGTCCCCCTACGCTTTCCTGGCCCTTGCAAGGCCCCAGAACCTCAAATGCCCACGCTCCCCACGACCACCGAGGTTGAAATTGACGTTGAACGTTGAATGTCTCCGGGGGGAAAACGCATCCCTGACGGGCTGCGAACAAAACGTGCGGTCGGGTCTGAAAGTTGGCCTAAATACAGCTATAATGACCGTACGTTATATTCGGGGGAAGACAGGTATCGCCGCATAAGGAGTTAGGAGAGGCAGGCGTCGTTTTTTTGACTCATGGCATCTCTGGTAGTAGCCAGCGGCGCGCAGCATTCCGCACCCAGACAGGCGAATGGCGCTAGAGCAAGAAGTTGATATAATGGACGTACTCGTACTAATAGCTCGGTCTTAAATGTATCTGACCTTATTTACTGCCGGACCTGGATGCATCTGGCGGCAATTACGTCCATACATGTGTCAACAACTCGAAGTGTGAAAGGGACCGTCCAAGGTAACCTTTCTTGTTTGGAGGTTTCAACTCAAGGGTCGACCATTGGGATTTCAATCGAACATTGTACTCACTCATAGAGACTATCTACCATGGATCTGCGCTCCATGGCGTCCACATTCACTCAGCCAAGATGACTCCTAATGGGACCATTGGGATTTCAATCGAACAGTTGATTCCCTCATAGAGACTATCTACCATGCATCTGCGCTCCATGGCGTCCACATTCACTCAGCCAAAATGAGTCCTAAACGGAGCTCGTCAAACTTGGAGAGAATCTCTCGGATGTAACTCGCCGTTCTTTTCAAACGGTCTCCCCGTGTAGCCGGGATCCCGATTCAAGCATAAAATCGCGGTGGTCTATGTTTGGGGCGACGAATTCGAATTCCACAGGCGTCCCTCACTCCTCCTCCTCCCCCCCTTTCTCCTGCTCCACCTCCTCCTCTTTCTCCTCCTCCTCCTCCTCCTCCTCCTCCTCCTCCTCCTCTTTCTCCTCCTCCTCCTCCTCCTCCTTTGCCCCTTTCTCCTCCTCCTCTCCCTTTCGGCTTTTGCTCTTGTGAACACGGCCGCAGCGACTACTACCACCACCATAATCCACCAGGAGGAGCTCACAGTGAATTTCATCTTGAAGAAGAATTTCTGTTGACGTCAACGGCAACAACATCACAGCCCGCTCGCCTTTCTCCTGCAGTTTGACCTCGCCAGGAAGACACAGCTCTGCGTTTCTGTTGACGTCAACGATAACGTCGAAGCCCTGGTGCAACTACCCAACTAACTACTTCCCGGCGGGCGGTTTTCGAACACGCGGTCGAACCTCGAGACTCGAGAGTTTTCCCACGCCACGCTTAACCTGCAAATCGTCAACGGTAATAATAATAGCAACCTCCCCTCCCCACCTCCATCTCCCTCCTCCTCCTCCTCCTCCTCCTCCTCCTCCTCCTCCTCCTCTACTCTTCTGCTGCTCCTTTTCCTCCTCCTCCTCCTCCTCCTCCTCCTCTACTCTTCTGCTGCTCCTTTTCCTCCTCCTCCTCCTCTACTCTTCTGCTGCTCCTTTTCCTGTGATCCTCGCGTGGGCTTTGACGATCGCGATGGCGATGGCTATGGCAGCTGCGACGGAGACAGACGGTGGAGAGACTACCACTGAAGGAGCTGCTGTGTGGGGAGGGTGGGTAGACGATCTGGACAAGGAGAGTTGTACTGGGGGAGGGGGAGGGGGAGGGGTAGGAGAGGTGGGAAGAGGAGTTAGTAGTAAAGCCACTACGAAAGGAGGCAAGCTGTTGGAGCTCGCGAACTTAACCACTGATTGCGCTCCCCGTCCTCCTCGGTTGCCTCTTCGGATTTTCATTGGCTACGACTCCCGCGAAGATATCGCCTTCCAGGTGTGCCGACATTCTATCTTGAAGCACTCGTCCGTTCCTGCGGAGATCGTGGCCATCAAACAAGATCTCTTGAGGAAATCTCAGCTGTACGATCGAGATCGGGCACCTGACGAGAGCACCGAGTTCAGCTTCACCAGATTCCTTACTCCTTATCTTGCTGGCTACCGAGGGTGGGCCATCTTCGTAGACTGCGACTTTCTCTTCACTGCAGATGTCAAAGAACTTGAGGACATGATGGACGACAAGTATGCCGTTATGTGTGTGCAACACAACTATGTCCCCACCACAGCCACCAAAATGGACGGTCGGATCCAGACCGTGTACCCTCGAAAGAACTGGAGCAGCATGGTCCTTTACAACTGCTCGCATCCTAAAAATAGAATCTTGACCCCTGACGTCGTCAACAGTCAATCCGGTGCGTTCCTTCACAGATTCCTGTGGCTAGACGACAAAGAGATTGGTTCCATTCCATGGACCTGGAACTGGTTGGTCGGACATAACGAGAAGCCAAGCAATGGGCTCCCTCCCAAAGCGATTCATTACACTCTGGGAGGTCCGTGGTTCGACGCCTACAAGAACTGCGACTACGCAGAGTTGTGGCTGAAGGAGAGGGAGGAGCACAGATTTACAGAGAGATTGCACAAAGTGATTCAGCATGATCTGCTCAACATTGTAGAGGATAAGATGAACGACAAGCTGGACGAGATTTGCGCGCGATTCAATGAACTGCTAGAGGCACACAGAGAGACGTCAGCTCTTCAGAGGCTCATGTTGCTCTATCTTCAAGATAAGACGGGAGGACCAATCATCAGGAAGGACGCATGACATAGAGACAGCTGGAAGAAGCACGCCAAGGGATCGACAAAGGAACGTTATAAACATGTACGCTCTCGTGCGCGCGCCCGCACATAAACACCACACACACCCACACACACACACACACACACACACACACACACACACACACACACACACACACACACACAACACCACAGACAGAGAGACATACCCCTTGCAGCATTTTCTCCCCCTCCCTCCGTCTCTCTCTCTCCCTCACACACAGACAGCAATCACCACGAAGGAAGCATGAAAAGCTGCACAAGTAATGCTTAGGATCGGCAGCTGAACGCAGAAACATACCACTAAAACGCGCGCACGCGCACTCACACACTGTGACACACATACACAGAAACTCCTTTGCATTGATTCACTATCCACACACACACACGCACACACACTGTCACACACACACACGCACACACACGCACACACACGCACACATATGGCGCAGAGGTTCAATCGAAGCCACTGTACTTAGTCGAATAGAACGCGGAGTAATCATAGCTCTATCCAGGGCTATCCCTAGGCCAGAGATAGATACGACGAGTCCGCTTCCTGCTACCTTTTTGTTTATCTATGATTACGAGCAGCCTACCGCCCCACAGTCTCACATCTGCTGCTTGTTTGCTGCGACATCCTCCACGGGTGCACGGTGCCACCTGCTGGTTACGGGCCCCAGTGTCCCATGGATGTACATCAGTGACCATTGATCAAGATGGTGAGAACGGCTGACCATGACCCTGATGACCCCCGGGTCGACTGGGGGGATGGATGAAGCCAGAGGGCCATGGCATTGTGACCACGATCAGAGCACTATATATGCCTCCCACACAGTGGTCTTGTTCCCGAGCGCGGTGATCCGTGGACACAGTCTCACAGATGAAGACAAACACATACTCAAACGACCAAGGCGGTCGTAAATGTCGGAATCTGGGAAGAGCCATGCACGTACGCATAATCATCGCACATGCAGACACTGTGAACAATGTGAAGAAGACAAGAGCTGGGCAACATACAGATGATGATGCATCGTCACTGAGACCGCTCCTTTGCATTGGGTGGGGCTGATGTGATAGACGACGTGTATATTCCAGATTTTTTTTGTTTTTGTTTTTTTGGTATTCCAGTAATTCTACAGTTGGACAATGTGGATAAGAACGGAAGTGCATTTCATAAGTCTGAGGTGGCGTGCTGGGTGAACGTAGAGGCTGGGGAGCGGCAGAGAACACTGAGTCTCATGAAAAAAATAGTGTAATCCGGATTCCGGAGTATATATTAATTACATTTCACGGAAAAGATTACATCGTTATGTCGCGCAGTAAACACTCTAGAGTCTACACGCAACTCAGGCCTTCAAACTCCATTCGGTGAGACTGCTGCCACTCGGCTGCCAAACGTGCACAAAAAGAGACACGCTTAAATACGACACTGTGACAGCAAAACCGGGGCAAGGGATTCTCAAGCAATCATTTCTCTTTCGGCTTCCCAACGTCACGAAGCCATAAGGAAGAGATGCAGGCCGTGAACCCCAGGGAAGGAGGATGCGAGACGGCGAAGAGGCTGATGCATTCCATGTGCCGAGGAACGGTTGCGCGGACAAAACAACGCACGACAGTGGCAACTTGACCAATTCACGGAGAGGCACAATATCAGGCAGAAGGGCTGTGTGTGTGTGTGTGTATATGTGTGTGTGTGTGTGTGTGTGTGTGTGTGTGTGTGTGTGTGTGTGTGTGTGTTGTCAAATTCGCCATACACTCAAAAAAAGCATGACTGTGCCGAACAGACTGTTTCGTCGGACTTCCACCGACTCATCAGGAGGTTGAACCCCGACAGTCTGCCCAGGATGCATTTGACTGATGGTCCAGGATAAGGACTCACCACATCGCCCAGAGTTAGCGATACCCCTGAGAAATTTTGTGTGTGTGTGTGTGTGTGTGTGTGTGTGTGTGTGTGTGTGTGTGTGTGTG